GCACAGCAGCACTCCATCATTAAATGGAAGTGGTATATCAGAGATCGGACTCAAGCAGGACCTGAAGGCACAAGAAAGTTGCATGAGGAAGTGGCCCAAATACCTATGGTCTCCACTCGTCACATTACCTTCCCTCTTCCAGTCTGCACCCATGGCCTCATGGGGAGTTCCTTATGATCAGTTGACTGAGGAAGAGAAAACTCATGCCTGGTTTACAGATGGTTCTGCGCAAAATGCAGGCACCACTCAAAAGTGAACAGCAGCAGCACTGCAGCCCCTTTCTGGGACTTCCCTGAAGGACAGTGGTGAAGTGAAATCCTCCCAATGGGCAGAACTTCAAGCCGTACATACGGCTGTTCATTTTGCACGGAATAAGAAATGGCCAGATGTGCGATCATATATGGATTCATGGGCTATGGGCTAATGGCTCGGCTGGATGGTCTGGGAGTTGGAAGAAGCATGATTGGAAAATTGGTGACAAGGATGTATGGGGAAGGGTATGTGGATAGATCTCTCTCAGTGGGCCAAAGGAGTAAAGATATTTGTGTCTCATGTGAATGCCCACCAAAAAGTGCCCTCGGCAGAGGAGGACTTTAACAATCAGGTGGATAGGATGACACGTTCAGTGGAAACCAGTCGTCCTTTTTCCCCAGCTACTCCTGTCATTGCTCAATGGGCTCATGAACAAAGTGGCCATGGTGGCAGAGATGGAGGTTATGCATGGGCTCAGCAACATGGACTCCCACTTACCAAGGCTGATTTGGCTACCATCACTGCTGAGTGCTCAATCTGCCAACAGCAGAGACCAACACTGAATCCGCGATATAGAACCATTTCCCAGGGTGATCAGTCAGCAACCTGATGGCAGGTTGATTACAATGGACCACTTCCATCATGGAAAGGACAGCATTTTGTTCTTACTGGAATAGATACTTACTCTGGATATGGATTCGCCTTCCCTGCACGCAATGCTTCTGCCAAAACTACCATCCATGAACTTACAGAATGCCTTATCCACCATCATGGTATCCCACACATCATTGCTTTGGATCAAGGGACTCACTTCACCACAAATGAAGTGCAGCAATGGGTCTATGCTCATGGAATGCACTGGTCTTACCATGTTCCCCATCATCCTGAAGCAGCTGGCTTAATAGAATGATGGAATGGCCTACTGAAAACACAATTATGGTGCCAGCTAGGTGGCAATACCTTGAAGGGCTGGGGCAATGTTCTCCAAGAGGCTGCATATGCTCTAAACCAGCATCCCATATGCAGTTCTATTTCTCCATTGAAAGGGAGTTTCCCTAGGGGTGTGGCCTGCTTCCAGTATATTTATGGACATCCTGGGAAAAGAGACACTCTTCTGTGGATCGGGATTCTGTTGTGCTGCCTACAACTGTCCATGAGTGAACAATCCACCATTCGGCCTAGAGATCTTGGATTTGTCATTCGTTGGAGTCAACAGCCAATATACTGCTTGCCAACCTGGAGTTCCTTAGCCCCTGCAGCTGTAGCTGCGTGAGTCGGAAAAAGCCTCCAGCTTAATGTATGATCCAAGAACTTGGGACTTGCCAGCTTCTGTAAGTGTGTGAGCCATTTTCCTAAGATAAATTTCTCTTTTTCTCTCTATATAAGCTTTACTGGTTTTGTTTCTCTAGAGAATCCAGTCTAACACAGCAGCTGAATGCTTCAACCACTGTGCCACCAGAGCTCCTGAACTCATTAAACGTAATTCCAGAGATTTTCGTTCTTATTCCCAGACTGATATGCTGCTGTTGTTACTAGTTGCAACTCCTGGCAACCCTGCGTGTGCCAAGCAGAGCTGTGCCTCAGGATTTTCAGGGCTGTCACCTTCCAGAAACAGGTGGCCCGTCTGCGCCCAAGGAGCCCAGGGTGGGTTCTAACTGTCAACCTTCTGGCTCGCAGCAGAGCACTAATCATCCATGCATCCCTGAGTATGTCCAGTTAATATGGACGCTAGCATCTCTTTAAAAATATATACACATATATATACATACACATGTGTGTATGTGAGCGTGTTTGTACACATACATACACACATATGCATATGCCAAAAACCAAACACATTAGTTTGGACTATACATCTTATTGGGAGCTCTGGTAGCATAGTGGCTAAGGCACTTGACTGCTAACCAGAAGGCTGGCGGTTCAAATCCACCAGCCACTCCTCGGAAGGACGGTTGGGCAATCCTACTTCCATAGTGATACTGCCTCGGAAACCCAAGGAGGGGTCGTTATGAGTCAGGGCTGACTCGACGGCACATAACAACAACAACAACATACATCTTATCTCTTCCCTCCATTAGAAAAAAATTCAGGAGTTAGAGTGTCTTACTACATGGTTTTTTAAATATTTAAGTTCAGACTACTATTTTAAACGTTTAACTCTCAGTTAAATACCTTTAGAGATCACAAACTAAAAAATAAACACAAAAAAACATGATGTTTGTTTCTTTGATTAAATCTCTTCACTGTAAGTAACAAAAAAAAAGAACAAAAAATGGCAGTGCATTTACAGAAGAAACATCTCAAACTAGTAAGGCAGAGAATGTTACTACAGACCATGTATTGCAATTTCATAGACATTCTGAGATTTTAATGAAAATAATAAAAGCTCGATTTGATAAGAAAAATTTAAGGTAATAATCTGAACTGCTGGCCAGGATACAAACCACAATATTTACATAGGAAGCTGTTTGCCGCAGGAAATGCAGTGAAGGCCTAGAAAGGACTTATTTTTTCAAACAGTAATACAATTACAGCAGTAACATACATGGGGCAGCCATACTGGTGGTATATTACCCACTACCAAAGACAGCATTTCCAGAAACGTTTTAACGATGTGGGAACATGTTAGGATTTACTGAAAGCATTTTACAAGGTGAACTCAAAGCTGTACGCACCCAGCCTGACCCGTGTTTATCTTGGTGTACATATGTGTACGTATGCTGAGCCTGACCTCAGGACATGTATGACAACATGCACCATGGTTACGTTGGGGGAAGGATCATGGTAACATTCCTTCTATTGTCCTAATCTCCACAACGCTCCTGTAGTTCAGTAAGGGAAAACAAATGTTTATTTGGGGAAAAAAAAAATCCAGCTTGCTCCATGGGGCAAACAGGTCCCACAATAATTGACTTTCTTTTTGGCCTGGTCTCATATCAAAACACTAGGCAAGAGGTGGGACCAAATAGCTCAGAGCTTAAAAAGCTTAGCTCCTCTCTGCATTTAACATTCCATAAGCATGCCTACATTTCGTCTTCCTAACATTTATTTTTTTCATTCGCAAATGCCTAACTGTTAAGATCTGCACACACAGTGTCAGAAGACAGCAGCTGGGGCGGTGATGATTCCAGCCTTCTGGCCTGTGGGAGGCAGGGCAAGGGCAGGAGGAGTGGCTAGGGAGGAGAAAGAGCTTCTACAAGGAACAGAAAGACAAGGTACTGGCGGGGAGGAGCAAGACGGTCTCATCAAAGGCATTAAGTCCGATCTCTCTCTGCCTGCTCCACGTACCTCAGAGGGGAAACAGGCAGTTCACTGACAAGGCTACAGTGGACACAGGCAGTGCTGGTGGTATGAGCCAGGGCAGTGGTGGTGAAGGGGAGGAAAGGGGCTGTTTCAGAATCTCCTCGGAAGGGATGGCTATCAAAACCTGCTACACGCACAAAAGAAGAGGCGTTGAACCTATAAGGTGAGTTTAACAGGTTAAGAACTTGTGCTAGGTGCCACCGAGTCAGCCCTGACTCACAGCACTACACACGGCAGAACAGAACACTGCCTGGTCCTGCGCCCTCCTACTCCATCCTATGACAATGAGAAGGACCGGAAAGGCAGCCGAAGAGTCCACACAGGTGGAAGAGTGTGTGCAAAGCTCTGGGATTGTGAGGGCACAACATCTCTGCCACATGTAGAACTGCAGACAGTGCATTGTTCCTGGAGCAGTGTGTGTATGTGTGCATGTAAATGCATGTGCATGTGTGTACATACACATGTGTGCACGTGTGGACCTGAGCGGTGCATGAGGGGTACACAGTGTATGGAGGAGTGTATGCAGGAGGAAGAGAGGGACCAGATGAGGGCCAGGTGTGAAATATTAAGAAATTGAGCCTTTACTCATTTTACTCTTAAAGTGATGGAGAGCCATTTCAGCATTTTCAGTAGATCTGTGATGTGATTAGGTGTACGTATTATCATGATTATCTGGCAGTATGAAATCGCACACACGCACACGCATGCACGCACACATCAATAAAGCACTGGAGGGAAGGCGGTGAGACCTGAAGCCAGAGTAAGTCAGAGGCTGCAGTGGCCCAGGGAAGGGAGGGCGGTGCTCCGATCACAGAGTGACTGAGATGCAGGGGGGCCACTGATCTGAAATGCTGAGGGCTTGGCAGGGCTAGTGTTCAGCCACAAGAGGGAGCCTGACTTTACAATAACCTTTACATTTCTGCTTTAAACTCCAGGTGGATGGAGAGCCACGAGGGAGGCAGGGACAGCCGGGAGCCATGGAGATGCAGGCTCCCTTCTGGGCAGGCAAGTGAACATTCCCTGTTCTGCCCTCGGGCTGAATGCAGACAGAACAAGGTCACGGGATCCTGTCCATTAGGTGGCTTTACTGCAACAATGAAAACCAAAACCTACCCACACAGAGTCCTGGAGGAGTGGCAAAGGGAAGGCAGTTTCCTTCGGATGATGGGCACACAGACCTAATTACGTAACTAAATTAAGAAAATGCATAAATAAAATGGATGTTTTATTTCCAATAGTCCAGCAGTATAACTTTAAATACTCAAGCAACTTTACAGAATTATTTTAGCACAAGTCATGCAGCAAAATTAGCTATTAAGACATCAAGGTGCATTTTTGGCAACTATATACTTGAGCCTTCTATTGCCGTTAAACCAATCACTCATGAGCTACTAGAAATTCCTAATACCCTTCAAGGAGGGCGTGGGTCCTGGAGCAAGCCGTACCTGCATGTTTCTCAGTGTATCCACAGTCTCCACCTGAGGCACGACTTTGACAGGCTGCTCTTCCCATGTGCCCCAGCCATCGTCTGCCTCCTGGTCCCGGTCACTGTGCTTGGTCAGTAGCAGAAAGGCATCAATCAGCACGTCCTCTGAGTCTTTGGAACAGTCCTTTCCTGCGGCCGCATTGAGCAACTGCAAAATAACGCTCTTCTCCTTGGCGAGGATGTCAGGGGCAAACACCTGCAAGCTTTCTAGCCCAGGAATTTGTACCTGGAAAGGAAATAAGCCAAACTTTCAAATGAAGAAACACCGTGCACTTTAGAAATACACATGATTAAACAAAACAAGCTATATTTTGGGAGTTTCAGATTTCAACACACATGTCAACTAGGGTTCTGCTTAGTTGGGGGCCACGAAACACACTATGCTTTCTTGCAGGCTCTGTTGAAAAGCTATGAAATTCCATAGGCTTACTTCACACAAAATGGTTTCTGGCTGACAATTAATTAAAAACGGAGCATTACCCTTCAAAGCTGTCACTGCATCCCAAGGATATGCATTACTGGACCAAATGCCACATTTATAGCAAGAAAACAAAAGATGGGGGTCAGGTGAATTTTAATAAACAATTACAAATTCAATTTTTTCAAAAAAAAAAAAAAGGTTAAAGAAAAAGCTTACAAATGCTCTGTTATAATTCAAGGTTGACGTTACACAGTGACAAACTTTCCTCTTTTTTTTTTTCAACATCAAGGTTATATGAAGAAACAAGGACAGTATGTCAACAAATATCAGTCTCAAAGCAAGGTCCACAGGACTTGCCGTCACACAGGACTTGCCATTTAGTATAATGTTACCTGGAGCAGTGTGACAGTGATGTGGTTTCATCATCTCAAAGCCTACAAAATCTTTCTACTCAGTAAGGACTTCAAACAAGGAGGACACAGCAACCAATTCAGCTTACACACTGAATGCAGTCAATTTCCCCTTACTAGCCTTTCTCTCTCCCTTTTTCTTAAATAAACTGTCTCAATCACTGGAAACAATGACTCTTTTTCTTAAGGTATAGTACTGTGTTAGTTCCATTGTAGAAAACAGTCTCATGACTATTTTCACAAACCATGGATCTGAGCAACAAACACTATTCAAAGAATGTCTGGAGGTTCCATATACCATGTTATTTTAACATACTATTCTTTTCAAGTTTTTTTAATACTCAGTGCAAACTTGATGGAATACTGATTTTAACTTAGGGAAAGAAAAAAGTATTTCTCTTCTACCTCCCTCAGCAAAAGATGACATCTTAATGAACCAGCTAAAAAGAACGTTAGGCAAAAGAGAAAATGCCAATACATTCCATGAGATGGATGCTAAGCTTCCTACTTAGAAGAGAAATCTGACCTTTCTCCAACAATAATTGTAGGAAATGGAGAAAAGGGACAAGAGACAGAAGAGTGGGAAAGACTGCAGAGCTGGAGCCAGCCCTACCCTTTCCAATTTTCTTCTTCCTCACCTCATGCAAGTGTATCGCTGGAAGAAGAGAAAACTCAAAGATGTGGAACAAATCTTTAAAGTACTGAGAAATGATGAAGAATCAACCTAGAAATCAATACCAGTACACACATCCATCAAATGGGAAGGGGAAATAAAGATGCTGTTGCACAAAAAGCTGAGAACTCTCTGCCAACGGAAACATACTACAAACGATTTTACAGGAAGTCCTCAGACAAAAGGAGAAAAGATAACACAAGGAAACTTGGATTTATAAAGAAAGGAATAAAAAGCATCAGAAGTGGTAGATACGTGGTGAATTTTTTTTCTTTTCATTGTTAAAGCTATTAAAAAAGAAGTGCTTAAAGCCAAAATAATAAAATCGATCATGGACTGAGAATTAACACTGTTAAGAATGTCGGTGGTCTTCACGCTCACTGTTAGATACAACACAATCACAATCAAATCTCAGGAGACCTCTTTGAAGAAATGGAAAAGCTAATGGTGATGTTTAAACAGCAACACAAAGGTCCTATAATAGCCAAAACCATCTTGAAAATTAACACAGTTGGAGGACTGTCATTACCAGATGCCAAGCTTCACGACAGGTGACAGTACTGAGCTCCAGGTAATGGTATGGAGAGTCATATCCTGAGGGGAAATGGAAACTTACTTTGGAATGCATCAAACATTAAGATGGACAGATGTGTGATAAAGCCAAGACTAATAAAACCTTCACAGAATCTACGTTGTTGCCACACCAGTGTTCATGAGCGTCTTCCAAGTTTCCTTGAAATCATTATACTAAAAGGTAAGGTAAAATGGTGGACAAGTAACAGATGAATCTCAAAACCATTACTTTTTGCAAAAAAGGAAGAGAGGTTAGTAGCTGCCAGTGAGTCAATTCCCACTCAGAGTGACCCACTGTACAACAGAACAGGGACGCTGCCAGTCCTGCGTCATCCTCACGATGGCCAGCGTGCTGTATCACAGCGGGGAGGCCGCTGTGCTAATGCTCCTCACCAAGGGGCTCCGTCACCATCACCGGCCCTCTACCTCACCACACATGACGGCCTCCTTCAGTGATTCATCTCTCCTGACGGGGTGTCTCCAAAGCAAGTAAGAAGGACAATGTGCCCCTGTGATCATAAGGCTTTCCATACGCTAATTTCCAGTAGCTTGCTAGGCCTTTCCTCCTACTTTGTCTTACTCTGGAAACTCCACTGAAATTTGTCCACTGTGGGGGTATTTGAAGTACTGGTGGCAAAGCTTCTGGTGTTATAGCATCTTACAAGCTACCACAGTAGGACAAACTGTCAAACAGGTAGTGGTGACAAAAAGAAGGCAAGCTACACAGACATTCTGCAACAAAGAAATGAGAAACCAACTG